GACAGCAACTTGTCTATTCCCCTTCCCCCAATTCCCCAGCGCTGTTCCCATCCCCCAATTCCCCAATAAAAATCTTAAAAAAAAAATTACAAATACATTTTGAATGGTTTTTCATAAAAAGATTAAAAAATAGTTTTTAGGGCAAGTTAACCAAAGTACCATATTATATGTATAACATATACTAATATTTTAGTTAGCCATGTAAGCATTTTTTTCCTCATTAAATCATAGCTTTTGGAATTGTAGTATTTTAATATATATTCATTAAGTATAATCAAGACTGGACTTTCTCAATTCATCTTTTTTTCAAAGATAAACATGAATGATTAACACAGACCCAATTCAGTGATGGCTGACCTCTTATCTACTAAGCTTTCAAACTTGTCCCAATCAAACCCTCTGAATTAATTCCCTATAGCCTTGCACTGTGGTCACAAATGCCACAGCATTACGTTTGGTATGTATTTTAGTTTTCAAGGAAACTTTTCAGAACTGAAAATGTGTTCAGCACTAAAGGTTAAATTCTGAAAGGATTCTGTCAGAATCTTTGAGGGCCTCAAAAAGGACATTCCGCTTTACCTTTGTGAAGATCGCCAGGGGCATGCCGTACCGGTCCTCTTCCAAACCGGAAATCAGCCCTGGTATCAGGACTGCCTGGCCCACATGAGCTTGAGGCTGTACAGTAATCGGAGGACTATCTGAGGGCACCGACTCCTTTGGAAATGAGTTTGTCTGTTCTGACCCCACCTGCTCCCTTTCTTTCAAGGTGAGGTCCTCTAAGACACTCGGATCCAAGGTCTCCCAGTCACTTTCTGAAGACTCTGGAGATGGACGAGAAGGAGGTTTCAAATATTGATTGGTATCACTGAGTTCCAGTCCTTTGTTGCTGTCGTCTTCTACTTGGAACAAAGGTCCTTCAGTCTTGATAGCAGTGTCTCCGCCATGGTTTCCTGTCATCATTTTCTTGACAGTTTCCGAGTTGGTGTTTGGAATGTTAGATGCAGAAGCAAAATCAAGTGCAGGGGGATTCCTTTCTTGAAGCCCAGCGTCATCAGACATACTCTTTCGGGGTCTATACTGAGAACAGTCGCTGAGACCATGCTCAATCATGCCTAAAACATAAAATATTGGAGAACAGCTTGGCTTATAATAAGGTGGAAGAAAATAAGTTGTATATTCTGTTCTAAATAAAATTCTCCTATAAAAATTTGAATAAGCTATGCTTGTACACATTCTAATAATAATAATAAAAAAACCCCAAGAAAGTCTCAGATAAAAGAAACCTATTGCCAAAATGGAAATGTCATATTAAAATAGAATTGTTAACCCTAATGAGTTTATCCTTGAAAACTTTTTATCACTGAAAGTTCCGGTGCAAGTTAAACAAAAAAAAGAGTACATACTACTACCCTCTTACCTGGAAAAAGAGATAGCACGGTCATCAGGGCACCCACCAATTTATTCACTGGAGAAATATAAAAGAGAACCTGAAATGGATTCAATCAAAATCAAATTAGAAAACCTGAGTCCACAGTGATTTAAAAAAAAAAAAAAGAGGGGGAAAGAGAGGAGAATCTCTTTTTTACAGAAGAATAACAGCTAATAAGTATAGAATTAATGGCAGAATTAGAAAACCATCAAGCATCCACTGTGATTCGGGTAAAAATTACCAATGGATGCTAAAGCTATTATGAAAGGTTGTTAGGCAACACGATATTCACATATAATTCAAATTTATCACCCCACAGATTACCTATTAGTTGCAAAGGGTAAAACAAGTACCTTAATATGAAGAAATCTGGCAACCACCACATTAATCAAATGATCAAACTTCACATCACCAATAACAGTACAAACAGTTTTGGGCCTCCTGATGTGATGCCCTGAGGATGTACCACCACCTCTATAGTATTCTTGCCAAAAAAGTTAAATCTGAAACTAGCCACAAGGAAACAATCAGACAATTCTAATTTTACAATGCAACTAGTCTGTACTCTTAAAAAAAAAAAAAAAAAAAAAAAACCAATATTATGAAAAACAAAAAAAGAGTGAGGTGGTAGAACAGTTTCAGAGTAAAGAAAGCTAACAATGCAATACATGATCCTCGGTCCCCAGACTGAAAAAACCCAGCTCATAGGAAATCAGTATGACATCTGGGAAAAATTTTAAATGGACTGTATATTAGAAATCATTTATTGTATCAATGTTAAGTTATTTGAATGTGAAAATGGTTTTTTGGTTATGTTGGAATATATCCTTATTCTTAAGAAATATATCCTAAAGTATTTAGGGATGAAGTACTATGATGTCAATCTACAAATTGCTTTAAAACTATGATTCGGGGAAAAAAATGAATATATACAGTATAAAGCAATATAATGCAAAAGTGGCAAAAGTTCTATCAACTTTTCTGTTTGACATTTTTCATAATAAAAATTGAGACAAAAATCGGAAACAGAATTCAGTTAGATACTGCACTAAAGCTAACACGGGTAATAATTATATTATTTGAAAAAAAAAAAGCAAGGATGTGCTTAGGTGAGTTTTTTTCCTTTTTAAACAAGTGAAACATTTAGTGACACTAAACTGCTACCTGACAGCAGAGCACCCACTGTTGTCTGTCTCCTCCTTGTACATTGGTCCTATTTAAGGAGTAGCTTACAAGTCCAGAGAAACCAAGTGTTGCATTAAAGGATGTCCTTATTTTATCAAATCAATATAAAAAGAATGTACCCATGATTTGCCACATTGGATACAGTTTACTTAATCATAAATGCCACTGCATGTACATAGGTTAAAGTATTATTTTGCTAAACTTTCGTTTTATTTTATTTATTTATTTATAGCTGAGCCATTTATTTATTTATTTATAGCTGAGCCATCCTGCCACCTGTTGGCAGCTTAGCTGCAGCTCAGCTCAGGCTGGCATCGAACCGCTGTTGCTCAGAGCTCGCACTCTTGAGCGAGCTCTTAACCAACTGAGCCACTCAGCAGGCCCTATTAAACTTTAGTTTTAGACACGTATATCTATGTGTGTTCTAAGTTGCAATGTAAAACATTTTTTTATTGTGGGTTGCAATAAAACAATCTGAAACCCACAATTGACAACTTAAAAACAAACAACCTGATTTAAAAATAGGCAAAAGACCTGAACAAAGATTTCTCCAAGAAAAATATACAAATAGCCAACAAGCACATGAAAAGGGGCTCAATATTACTAATCATTAGGAAAATGCAAATCAAAACCAGGAGATACTGCCTCACCTATTAAGATGGCTACTATCAAAACCAAGAAAATAATAAGTGTTGATGAAGATGTGGAGAAATAAGAACCCTTGTGCACTGTTGGTGGGAAAGTCAAGTGGTACAGCCACAATGGAAAACAGTACAGTGGTTCTTCAAAATTTTAAAAATGGAACTACCATATGACTCAGCAATACCACTTCTGGGTATATATGCAAAAAAACTGAAAGCAGGGTCTTGAAGAGATATATGTACACCCATGTTCACAGCAGTATTATTCATGAGGGCGGAAAGGTGGGAGCAACCCAAGCGTCCATCAACAAATGCATGGGTAAACAAGTGGTGTGTACAAACAATGGAATATAATTCAGCCTTAAAAAGGAAGTAAATTCTGATACAATGCTATGACATGGATGAACCAAGTGAAATAAGCCAGTCAAAAAAGATAAATACAGTATGATTCCACTTACATGAGGAACTTAGAGTAGCCAAAGTTATAAAGACAGGAAGTAAAAGGGTGGTTGCTAGGGGCTGGGGAGAGGGAGAATGGGGAGTTATTATTTAATGGATACAGAGTTTTAGCTTTGCACAGTGAAGAGAGTTTTGTGGATGGAGGGTGATGACAGCACAAACAATGTTAATGTACTTGACACCATTAAACTGTACACTTAAAAATGATTAAGATGGTAAATTATAAAGTTGGTCATGGGCTTGATATGTAGTTGGACAAACTTTTTCACTTAACATGTTATGAAACATCTTTACAACAGTTAAAAATCTCAAAATCTTCTTTGGTGTTTGGGATTATACACAATATACAAGATAAATCATGACTTATTCACTGATAATTCATTATTAAAAATGATTCTGTGATAGAATCTCTTAGATAGAGCTTTGTGTCCAACTCAGATTAATTCTGGAAAATAAATCTCTAAGAGGAGAATGTCTGGGCCAAAGGATAAACATTTTTAAGGTAATGAGTCATATTGGATATTGTGAATGGTTGACCCTCTGATATCCATTCCACCCCTATTCCACCGAGCACAGTAATATGGTTCATAAATCTGGCGCCACCCAGATACAAGGATGCCTCTTGATTACTCTAAACCAGAGGTCAGCAAACTTTTTCTATAAAGGGTCAGATAGTTAAGTGTTTTTCCTTTGCTGGCCTATGGCTTCTGTTGCACTACTGAACTCTGCCACTGTAGTGCAAAAGCAGCCATAAATAATAAGTGGATGAATGGGTGTAACTCTGTTCCAATAAAACTTTATCTATAAAAATAGCTCGGTGGGCCAAATTGGATCCTGGGGCCTAGTTTGTAGACCATTGGTTTAAAATCCCCGACACAAATCTTTGGTCTAAAATCATGGCAGTCCCATCCCTTTGTACTAGGAGAGTGGTCTGGAATCCAAGTATAAACCAATCAGTACAGGCATTTCGTTGGGAACAGTTACTGTTTCTGGGTAGGCATATGGCCTCACAGGCCCCAAACAAACGGAAGAGAAATTCTTATTAAATGGTTTGGGAAGAGGTACTCTCTCTACCACCAGTTATAACTGAGCAAGTACATAACCCAATTATTGTTGACAGTTATCCTACCCTATAAGGGAAACCAGGCTTAGGACAAAGCCAGGCTGCGGACAGCACCAATACATTTCCTTATTATTTAAGTCAGTTTAAATTGGGTTTTCTGTTACCTATATCAAAACCATTCTGATAACTGAATGCTGACAAACTGCCCCCGGAAAAGATTGCCTGAAATTATACTTCTATTATAATGAACAAGAATGTGTGCTTTAGCTCACCATAATGTGATAGGCAAAAAAGTTAATTTATACTATATCATTAGGTTTAATTTTATATAGTATTTAAGAAATGTCAATGCTAAATATTCCATCCCTTCAAATCTCACCTTTTTTTCAAGAAGAATTAGTTTAAACAGAATTAAGACCTGAAGAAAAAAAAAGGAAATATTATATTAAAACAAGAAACACGAGCCTATTTGACTTTCCCCTCTTCTAACATAACTATATATCATTTAATCAAAAATATTAAATAACTGCTTTAAGAATACACTGAAAACTATGAACGCATACTGAGAAATTAAATATTATCTGTGTCCTTTAAAAATTGTGAGAATTGGGCCAGCCGAGTGGCTCCTTGGTTAAGAGTTGGCTTGGGACACCAGCTCTGAGAAGCAGGGCCCCGGTTCGAATCCCACATGAGGGCCAGTGATGCTGCGCCCTCTACAGCTAAGATGGTGAACAACAGCTCGACCTGGAGCTGGGCTGCCATGAGTTGCTGGCGACGGTGTAGGCTGCAGTGGGCTGCCGTAAGCTACCATGAGTGGCTGGCAGCCGGTGTGAGCTGTTGTCCAATGGCCAGCGACTGACTGCCTCACCCGAGAAGAGCACAGTAATCATAATACCAACATGGGCCAGTGAAGTGATGTCCTCCACAACTAGACTGAAGAACAAAAGGACAGCAACTTGTCTGTTCCCCTTCCCCGATTCCCCAACGCTGTTCCCCTCCCCCAATTCCCCAATAAGATCTTAAAAAAAAAAAAATGTTAGAATCACTTAAATCTCTAACAAAATGTGCTTTTTGGAAGTTGTGCCATTTTTGTTTGAAATATTGCCAAGCTCCTTAAAGGGCAGGGACTATTCAATTATTTCTGAATATGTCCAAAGCATGCGCATAGCAGATACTCAGTAACTGCTTGTTAAATGAATGATGAGTGCATGATGCCCTAATCAACATATGCTTTAGTAATAAAGATCAGAAGGCATAAGTACAGATGCTTTACTGGAAAATGTTCCACACACAGGGCAGCACATAAAAATATTCTGCAAGATTACAACATGTTTCTTTCCACTCTAATTTCATGATAGCTGAAATTACAACGTCAATAGAAAAAAATATCCTATGCGACACAAAAATAAACAGGCGGCATTTGTATACTTTTAGAAATTTCTATCATACAAACACTACCGACACATTTGACTCTGGATCTTTATTCTGAGAGCTCTTAGAAGAAAGAACTAACATGGTTATGCCACAGTCTGCATTTGACCACGTAGCACATGGAATGTGCCCAGTTAAAGGAACACAACTTTAGTACATTATAAATTAAATAAGGTTTCATACCTTGTTTCGAAAATGAAGCACAAGATCTCTAGGAGACAGACCTACAATGGTAACAAAAAAAGCTAATCTGTAATGAAAATCTACTGTTTTTGTCCAAGAAAGTTTTTTTCCCCCCTCAAAGGGAAGGCAGGTAAAAAAAACCAAGCAGGAATATGCAAATATTAAAATATTTATGGAGTATTTGATTATGTACACATGTACTCAGAATTTATCAAATTACAATTAATAGTCAAACACAGCACTGTCCAGTAGAACTTTCTATGTTGATGGAAATGTCCTAAATCTGTGCTAATACAGTAGCCACATAACTACTGAACACTTGAAATGTAGCAAGTGTGACTGACAAACTATTTCATTTTTTATTAATTTGAATCTAAATGTAAATAGTCACATGTGACTAGTGACTGCTGTTTTGGTCAGTGCAGCTCTGACACCTTCTCCCCATTCTACAAACATCTTATAAATTATACAAACCTAGAAATTATGAAGCTTACACTACATGGCAATCAATTATTTAAACACGGATTTTGGTTGCTACATTCCGTAGGCTATTATTTCTGATCAATGTCTTCTCTGGTCATTGGCCATAGGACAAGAGAAAATAATTTAGAAAAACATATGTCCTCAGACTAGGAGGTTTGTAACCAGCTTAGGTAGCACACAGGTTGCAAAAATGGACTACCAGCTTGGATACTTCTCGCTAAAATAGGAACTGAAGAAGCATAAACCACCATGGGATTAAAGCTTTTTTTTAATCATGAAAAGGATATTTATTGCGTACCTTGGACACCAATGTGTATTCTGGGTTGTCAAAATAGTATAAATTTAACAGAACCCCACACTTGAAAAATGTTAGACTAGTAAAGAGCTGAGCAGGTCTCTCTCTTGCTCTCCCCCTCTGTTAAGAGGGAATTGACCTGGTCGGCATTACTGTAACGAAAAGAAAAAACTTCCGTCTTCACTCTGAAAAGCAGAATTGCTTTATACCATAATAACTGTGACTATTGGCACAAGTAAGTTATAACCTGCCAACAGGAATGCTGACTAAGAGGATATTTAAGGAAGCAGCAGCATCAAACGTTGAAGAATTTGATCCCATGTAGAAATGTAATTTTGATCATGAAGTGTTACATGCAACTCTGTGTGCCAAACAAAAAGAAATGTGGGCATTTCTTCTGACTTGTAAAAAAGCTACTTACCAAGGTATACTTGGGATCCTTCTAAAGAAGTTCCTCCCAAGGAACTATTCATATGTTCATAAAGCTCCTGTAAGATATAGACTCAGTTTAGACATTTTACTATCATTGTAGACACTGAATACGATGATCAGCAAAAAACTGGTTCTTTAATTGAGGCAGTTGGTGTTGCTAGGCCCTAAATTTAGAAACAATCAAGGTCTCTCTGAAACCCTGCCAGTTCTCAGCACTCCATCTGTTTCTTCTACATTTTAGTCCTTGACGCACTCACATGGTGGTACGGATTCCTGGGATAAATTCCCTCTACTTCCTTGCTAAATACCTAACTGTCCTACTCTCGCTAGAATCCAGGAGAGATTCACATTCTATATATTCATGGCAGCCTTGAGAAAAACATGTTATCCATCTTCAGTGAAACAGCCATGTAGTTTTTTTGTTTCTTTGTTTGTTTTTTTGTTTGTTTTTTGCTATGAGTGTTAGGAACCAGAGGCCTGATATATAAACATGCTGTGCAGTGTATTAAGAAGATAAGCAAACTTAAAGAAGCATGCCATAGCAAAAGGGCTCCTATCTGTTAATAGAAATGTTTATGTTAGTTATAGCCAGTTGCAGGCATTATTTCCTAATAAAAGACAGTTTGGTTAAATGTAATAAGTACAAACTGTACATTTTGGGCAGAATCCTGGCCCTTGATGTTATTTTCAAAGAAGAATGTCTTTCTTAAGCTAATAAATGATTATCTTTCACAGCATTACTGATGAGATTTACTTGTTTCATGAATCTGTCTTCAGCCAAAGACATCTATAGCAAGGTATAAAGTTACCTTTAGAATGGAAATTTGGGAAAAATCCTTCTCTTCAAAATATGCATGTGTAATGAGTTGAAGTTTTGCTTGAAGTAGGCCATAGAGAGGCTTAAAGAAAAAAAAAAAAGAGAGAAATCACCATTAGTTTGATAATAGTAACAAACGCCCCTCAATCTCTTTTAACTAGAAGAAAACAGGAAGAAAAAAGTAATTCAACTTTAGTGTCTTATTATTCACAGCTGAAAACCATGAAGTCACTTGCTCTAGCTCTCTGGCTGCAGCTGAAAAGTGCTTGGCACACAGAGTAAGGGGTTGAGAGGTGAGCACAGACCTGGGTCTGCTCCTTCACTCAGCTGCATGACTCTGGGCACTTTACCTCTCCACACCTGCTTGCTGATGTGAACACAGGTTTATGAAAACAAAGGATGTCATACAGAGTTGTTTTCAGAATGAAATAACACAGGGAAAAGTACTTAGAGTATCCAGCACACAGAAAGCACTTAAACATTAGCTATGATTATCACAATTTAAAACACATTCTAATACTGCACACTGTCCTGCTGGCTGGTGGAGACATGTAATCATCCTTATAGCAGCCGATTCTTACATCTAGTTCAACATTCACAATCAAACTTAAGTTTATTCCCCTTTTTTGTCCTCTGTGGAAGCTTAGAACCACCAGTCTGTGCCCTATCATAGTACTCTTTTGCATACTTGAACAGTTATTCCTTAGTTCTTATTTTTCCTATTTAAGACCTTCTTCCACCATTTCTATCCTTTTATTCTTAGTCTTCTTTTCTAGATGTTTTCTGATTTCTATGTCCTTTTTAGGATGCAGACCAATGCTGCACACACACACACACACACACAAACACACACATATTCTAATTAGTTTAAACAAGTAATACTGCAATTAATTTTTCCCCAATATCCCTGTTAATATGTTACCATCTATGTTTGTATCTATCAAGTTTGTATATTTTAATATATAGGCTGCAATGCACGATGAACCACCAAACCTTTTTGTGTGAGCTAGCTTTCCCCATCCCCTATGATAAATCCAGATAAAACTGGATTTTCACTCTAATTTTATCACTTAGTAGTTCCATGTCTATGAAAGTTTAGACAGTTTTTCTCTGAAGTGTATTTGTAAAATGAGAACAGTAAATACTTATATCTCACTGTTGTTATGAGGATTAAAATGACAATTATATCTAAAATGTCTGGTATAGAATTCATACCTGACATTTAGGCATTCAATATATGGCATTTATTATTGTTATAATTGTTCTTTCAAGAATGCTTGCTCAGTAAAACATGTTGCATTTGCTTTAATATCTAGTACTCCTATGCTTTCTTTTCTTTGGTCATCTGGTCCAGTAGAAAAAAAGTAATTCACCGATGTACCCTTCTAGAAACTAAACAGGGATCAGATTAGCAATCTACCAATTTTCTGATATAGGGGTCCTTTATAACCTTGCCTTTGCTAGGAGACTGTTCTTGCCCTATATCTAAAATTACTGTCTTGGAAGAAATATCCTGATCCTCAAAATCTTATTATTAAGCCCACAGAATTAAATTATTATTATTTAGGATTTTGTATTTTTTTAAGCTTTGTAATAAAAGCCAAAAAAATCCTATTTTGCAAAACTCAACTTATATTAAGCAAACTATTGTATGTTTAAATTGTCTCTGGATATAAGAAATTTGACAACTGCAGAAGAAATCATTAAAACCTAAATATATTTGGTGACTAGGCTAATGAAAAAGTCTGAAGTTTGGTTTAGGTTAACTGCAGAAACATTTGTATTCATTAATGATATAGATCTATGATACCTAATGTGGTAGAGATATGGATTTTTCCCCACAAGGGGGCTTGGGGTACTATATAGTACATGTAGAATTAGGCATTTGGTGTCACTGGGAAAGGTGTTATTATCTTATTAGCAATAACAATGGAACATCACAAATGATTTAATGAAGAAAGCTATGAAAAATAAGAAATGTCATATATTTCTTTTTTTAAATAAAGTTACAATGACTATACACTTGCATCTGATCAACTTGTTTGTAGAAGAAACAACTTTCAAGTATTGTGATAGAAAGATTATGTCACTTCCTTCCCTCTGACACTTTAAGTTTCTAAAGATTAAGTAAAGGATTTTAGAATTTTTTTCAATGTAAAAGAGTCATGTACTTCTTTTATCATTAGTAAAATCTGAATATAATCATAATATTTTGAATTTCAGTAAAATATTATTTATTCAAAGTCTTGAAAATAAACCCCAAAATGGATAAATGAAATATATGAACTACCTCATTTTGGTCAAGTGTCAACCTCCTTCCTCAAAACCTATCTGTTACGTGTCCTTCCTCTTATCTAGTTTTGGGTAGATAAGCAAATGAGAGTAAAATCGCTTGAAGGCAAAGAGAAACAGGAGCTGCGAAAGCATAAATAATGACCCGCTGATGAACTTTAATATTTTGTTTTCATAAATCTCTCCTCATTCTGATAATGCCTTGCCCTCAAATAAGTTCTGCCATGAATGTTTAACAAACACAGGAACGTGTATGTGGTCTCTTACCAGCTTGCTTAGAACACAGACACTTTTCTGAACCGTCTCTCGGGTGACGTCTGCTTGCCGTACTTTCAATGCCTATTACAAACAAATAGCCAGTATTAGAAATATTTACAAATCTTTCTTTTCCAACATAAAAATAGCAATTAGACAGAAAATATTTCTTGCATTTAGTTAATTCAATTCAAAAAGTATTTACTGACAAGCTCAGAAAGTATTTATTGAATGAATAAGTGTCAGTCGGCCAGAGCACTACATGCTGGAATCTGGGAGGCAGTGGGAATAGAACAGCCAGAGACAGTTGCTGCTATGGAGGACTTTACAGTCTGATGGAGGATACATTTTATGTGTAAGTTGCCACACTCATAATACAAAGCAACCATCCTTGGTTCAGCTTCCAGAGACCACTATTCCTGGTGAGAAGGAGATAGTGTAAGAGATGATAAAAACGGCTTGTCTCTCCAGAGATGAACTGTTTAATAAAAATTTAAAATAATATCACAGGTACAATGCACACAAAAAAGACCATGTATTTCCCCATTATTTTATTTTATTTTTCTTTTTTAAGATTTTTTAATTTTTACTGGGGAATTGGGGGAAGGGGAACAGACAAGTTGCTGTCCTTTTGTTCCTCAGTCTAGTTGTGGAGGACGTTGCTTCACTGGCCCAAGTTGGCACCATCATTGCGCTCTTCCTGGGCGAGGCCGATCAGTCGCCGGCTTCTGGACGGCCGCTCACAGACCGGCCCTCCCCATTATTTTACATTTTAAGTGGTCAACCCATAAGAAAAAAATTTTCGAGTGTTTTTTGTTGTTCATTGTAACTATCGTACCTTAGCTTCAATTTGTCGATAGCAAGAGATGCCATATACTGTGGCTCCATTTCCATTTCTGGGTGGCAAGTGAAAAAACACAGTATCTAAGAGATACACAGAAAAATGGAAATACCAGAGTGGGTTACCCTTATTAATAAAGAATGACATTTAAAGTTATTATAATGCAGTCATTAAAACAAAAACGATAATGTAACAAGGAACACATCACAACCACTGGTTTCTTACAGTTCCTTTCACTCAACACAAAAGGCTGAATTTTAACAGGTCAAATTCAGACTATGATCACTTACCTCAGAAAATACTTCATCGATATAGGATTACACCAGATTAAAAAGAAAGTAGAGAATCGTAAAAACCAAGGGCAATATATGAATCTTGAATAGATCCAAGAAATTCCTGGGACCATGGGGAAATGTGAACACAGACTAGATATTAGATAGTATTAGGGAATTTCTGATAAAACTCTTAGCTGTGATAATGATATTGTAAAAGTTACCCCAGGAATAATCAGTCTTCTTAGGGGATGCGTACTGATGTATTAGTAAGAGGTAAGTGTCATGTATTTACAGCTGACTTTTAAATAGTCCAGGCAAAACTGTACACATACACAAATATAATGAACGGTTGAAGAATATTCACAATACTATTCTTTCAACTTTTGTGTATGTTTAAAAGCTTTCATAATAAACAAGTTAGGATAAAAACATTTGTGAGGTTAAAATACTATATTTAAATGTTGTTAACCTACACAGTAACATGTGCTTCATTTCATCAAAAATTAGTAAACATTAGGAAAACAGGTGATCAAACCAAGTTCAGCCTGGTGTTTTGGCAGAGCCTCTGACACGTGATAGAATGAAGTCCTTCACCAGGCCAGTCAAAGCCCTTTGATAGGCGGGCCGGAGGCTCAGTACTAACTTCACAGCATTGCCTTCGCTGAGGGCACTCATGCTCTACAGCTGGCACGCAGGCTTTTAGAGCACTGTGATGACAATGGCTCCAGGGGTGGAGAAGCAATACCAGCTGCTTCCAGGAGGGCACCGGAGTTTGCAGGCGGAGCCTCAATTAACCTGCAGCTGGTGCAGGTAAACCCTTTAGTTTGCCTCAGAGGAGTCTGAAGTAGAAATGCAGCAAGTGCTACCAGTAGCAAACGTCCTAATCTGGCTGATAATCACTTACTTTGGCCAGGGTCCTGGCAAGACTGGCGAAGGTTCACCAACCATCACCAATATAAGCCTGGCATGCTGCTGGAGATGCTCTAGTGCATGACTGGTCATCTCCCAATAAGCATTTAAATATTGTACAAATAGTCACAGTAGGCCAAAGGCCTTTCATGTATCAAAGTACTTAGAATCTAAGACGTCTCGGCAAATTAAACAAACTTGCTCCACTGTCTATTTACATACCTTCCTGGTAATTGTGTGCGCCATCTGGTAAGGCAAGGAAGGGCAAATACTTCCACTCTTCAGGTAAAGTGTGACTGTCGTGTCCATCGCCTGGAATCAGGGGCGGGTAAGAGAATTCAACCTAAAATGGTTAAGGAAAGTTAGCCACAAGGTTGGTGATCAAACAGAGCATTTTATCATGAAAGGCAAAAACGCTGTTAAACACTGAAGGACAGAAGGAAGGATAAGCCACACTTGTTGATGCCATTTGACATTATCTGCAAACCTATAATAGAGAAGGGGAAAAGGAAAAAAGGAGTAAAAGGAAGAAAGATTTGTAAGCCTTTCCCCCTTTCTGCTTTAAAGGTTGTTACATTTTAATGTGCATAAGAGGGTAGAGGGTAGTGGCGGAGGTGGCAGGATTGGACAATTACATTTGGGAGTTGTCACCAAATACACAGTACCTGAAGCCATGGAGCCCTGAGGAAAACCAACATCCCCCTGAACTGAGTGGAGAGGTCCCACAAAGGAGCCTGGGAAGTTGAGCCAAGATCTACGTTTGCTTCCTATCATTTTGCTTCCCTGCTCCCAATACTTGTAGCTTTTAGTTTATGGTTTTGATGGGAGGTTGGCAGGGGGTGAGAGGGCATTAACCAACATTTCAGGTTATTTTTTTTAAGATTGCAAATTGATCAATGGAAATCCCATGAAGTCTCTCGAACACTCTGTCTTGTTGAAAGAACAAAGTTTTTAGTATGTGCCCCCAGTTTCTGGCATTCTCCAGGTTTTTAATATGTTCTTTGTGCTTCTAACATTTTTTGTTATTTCAAATAAGACTTTTGGTGAGGAAGGCACAATTAAATACATGGGACTTGGGTTATCACATGACTTTGAAGTTCTAGGCGATTTATGTTTACTTTCCTTTCAAAATATATTTAAGCAGGGGTGGCCGGTTGGCTCAGGTGGGTAGAGTGTGGTGCTCGTAACAATAAGGTTGCCGGTTCGATTCCCACATGGACCAATGAGCGCCCTCCACTAGATTGAAGACAACAACGACTGGACTTGGAACTCAGCTGCACCCTCCACAACTAGATTGAAAACGACTTGACTTGGAGCTGATGGGTGCTGGAAAAAACACACTGTTCCCCGATAAAGTTTTTAAAATATACATATATGTGTATATATATTTACACAGGAATTTGTATTGCATTAGTAACATACCAGGGGTGCCAAAAAATGTATACAAGCGGACACTGTGGTCAACGTTGCTCAAGCAGTAGTTCACCGTAATCAGAAGTATCTGGATGCTGACGGGAACCACTTAAGAGCACCTCTTGTAATTGCAGAAGTCAAACGTGACTTGCATTCATCATTTTTTTATCAGTATATATTGAGTAATACAATTTTAATAGTTTTTTTCTTTCTTAAAATGTATATACATTTTTTTGGAGCCCTCTGTATTTGATCTTTGTCCCTGGTCCTGGTACATAGCTCCTAAAACTCTTGTAATTTCCCAGAGATGGGAGCATCTTTTGTTATTCATAACAAGTTCCTTTCAACCCTACCTGGATTTATGCTAATGAGGTAACTCTTGCTGGGGGTCGGGAGGGAGGGTGCTTAATAGCTTCAGGATGGGGTCTAGTCACCAGAAACACCAAGCTTTGACCTCCCTGGAAGTCCACTGAGTTCAATCACTAGTGGCTATACAATTTAATCAATTGTGTCTATATAATGAAACCTCCATAAAAACCCCTCCATTATTGGGTTCAGGGAGTTTCCAGTTTGGCAAAGCACTGAGGTGCTGGGAGGGTGGTGTGCCCAGAGAGGGCATGGAAGCCCCCTACACATCTCTCCCATTTGGCTGTTGCAGAGTTAGATCCTCTATAATAAACCAGTAAAGGTAAGCAGTGTTTTCCTGCGTTTCAAAGCCTTAGGACTAAGTCATTTTATTTCATACACTGTTCTAATACATTGAGTAGATGTGGTCTCCCAGTCCATAGAAAAAGCAGCAACCAACGAGAAAACAGAGACGGGAAGCTAAAAGCTACAACGCTATGCTTTGGGTCAACACTGAGAAATAACTGCTAACTGCTCTGTCATCATCCTCTGACTATCAAAAGCCCAGTTGAATCAGAGGCGTATGTGAAACACTCTATGTTAAAATAAACGGAGAAAGCCACAGTCCGAGTGACATTTGTTATGAAGGCAGCCATCATCCAGACTAACCTAAATTGTGTTCAGCATATTCTTTTTCAAAATCCATTTCAACAAAAATCTCCATCAAGAAAAAGATGGCTTAACATGAAAAATGGTGCAAACATTTAGCCACAAGGATGCCTTTGCAGCATTACTCAAAATAGCAATAATTGGAAAGCCAACTAAGTGTATGAAAAAGAGACCAGTTAAATAAATATTTCTACAGAATATTATTTAGCTACTTTAAATGTTATAATTCAACATTTATTAATATGGAAAGATATTAATGGCATACTGTTACATAAAAAGGCAGGTAATAAAACTTGATTACAGTATATGTTTTTGGAAAAAGTTATGTATAGTCATAAAAAAATAACTGGAGAACTGGAGGGATATTCATCAAAATGTTAAGAATAGATTTCTCTAGGATACAAGATTTTAAGCGCTAGTTTTCTTCTTTTTGCCTCTATAGTTTCTCACTTTCCTACTACCGTAAGTACATATTACGTCTGATCATAAGAAATGTTATTTTTTGAAACAGCTGGAATATGACTCAAAATTATCAAAAAAAACCATCAATTTAAATGACATTCTCTAAAAACCTCCTAGGGAGAAACTGAGTTTTTTATTTGATGTCATCTTAACCAAAGAATACAATAGGACCAATCTTTCTCAAAATTATTAAGTACATAATGACTCCTCTCCTGATATGTCTTCACTTTCCTCTTGTAGTGCTCATCCCTAGTAGGCCAAGGTCCTTCTGCAGTCTTCCCTTTACTAGCAAAATCTGTGCTCGGCCAAGGATCTGAATCACACTGACAACATGGAAAGGGTTACTCACCCATGATGCATAAGGATTTTATTAGGGATGAAGACTTAAGCCAGGGAAAGAAATTGAGGCACTCTAGCTTCCTGGAGGGAATATAAGAGGACACAGGAACCTTCCTGATATTTCTAAATTTCCATTATCTAAGTTGACACCTACTCTGTTTAGACGGGATGCCAAGGCCTACATGAAAACTATTCCATTGCTCTAAACCCTGCAAAAGTCAGAGAGTTTTTGTCATTTCAGTATATGAAAAGCACGGCTAATATCAGGAAAAAACCTCCACCAAAATATTAAAGTTCAAGATAAAAGTGCTGAGGAAGGCCAGAAAATGCAATCCTGTTTCAGGAGTTTCTCTGAGCTAAAAAAAATCTCCAGACATCATTCTTCTCTAACTTCTAACTCTCCGAAGTTTGTTCTTTCTGTTCCAAGAATCACAAACAGTACCTCCTCCATGTTTTATCATGGTCACCACAGGATTCCATCAAATAACAGGTGCCAAAGCTACATGTTTGTCACCAGCCATCTGTCACCAAAACCTGAGTGGCTCAGGGCTTGACACTATCACCCTGCAACCCATGGAGATGTCCCCGTGATTGGCCCACACAGACCAACAGCAAAATACACTGTTCTCTTCACTGCTTCTAGTGGCTTTATTCACTGTTGGAACCAGTGTAAACATGAGTTCTAGTTCTTTTATAATTCTATTTTTCTAAGAAGTTCAGTCTGGTAAAACCAGTTTATTCAAGAATTAATAAAATTGCTAGCTATGCACATAAAACCACGAACAGAAAAAAATCAGAACAGTGGTCAAAAATCAAGTAATAATTCCAAGTTTTTATGACATCACTTTGGAAAATAACTATTCCCTGTTAATTGGAGTGTTAAAAAAAAGTTCCATCTACAAAAGAACCAAAAAGTTGAATTCATATGCTTTTCACTGTATAATTTTGCCAAAAGTTACACTAATCTGACAAATACAGTTTATATATTTACTTCAACAAAGCAAAGAACAAACAAAATTCTGGAATACACAATCTAAAACAAACAAACTAGTGGACAGAAGGTGCCCATAAATTATCTCATGTCAGAGTCTAATTGCAGGTGAGTTTTTAAAGAAGAAAGGTCCTTTTCCAAATGTTAACTTAAAACCAAAACTTTAGGAAAGGAGTTGGAATGGATAAATATCTCAACTATTTTAAATGTCATGGTAGCACTTAAACTCAAAATGTTCTAAGTGTTAACTATATCAATCAACTAGAATAATCACCACTAGAAGCTAACATGTCATATACAGAAGAATTCACTCCCACAGATTTCCACAAATAAAAGAGAAAAAATGATCAAGTGATAAAGCTATTCGATGTTCCCTTAAATTTAAGTGAAGGAATTTTTCATTAAAATACATGTGAAGGCCTCAAAGGTGGAAAAACGTAGGAAACAAGATGAAGGCACACGCCTAGCGTGGGGATCTTCACACAGCTGAAGTAGAAGCTGACTTGGACCTTGCGGTCCACGTGAATCGACCTGGCTCCTTTATCACAGCACTAGACACCAAGCAGCTTTAGTAACCAGAGTCTCCAAAGGCTGAGTACATTCCCCTAGGCAAAGCTACCCAGCAGGCGGCTGAAAGAAAGGCATTACTTTTAAACAAAGGTTTCATTCGGTCCCTCGAATCTAAAAATTACAAATTACAACCAAGTATGGGAATTTTCACTGAATAATCTCCATGCATGGAGAGAAGTGGTGATCATCCTGACCTGCAGTATTTGGAACACTTGAACAACCCGTCTAAGAAAACACCCTCAGACCTCGGGACATGGAGTAGAGTGCGGGAACGGATTCAATGGAATTGTAATAGATAAGCATGATATCGGGGGTGGGAGGGCAATAGATGGGGGGAGGGGGGTTGTTACTTTGTGAGGGTGAAAAGGGTAACTATTGCATTGTTTTGTACACCTGAAACTAACAATAAAAAAAAAAAGAAAAAAAAAAGAAAACACCCTCAGGCAATCCAAACCAATCCAAAGGCAGTCCCAATTCAACCAGCCTTGCACTTTTTAGTCTTTTACACCTGGAAGGAAGATCTTAAAATGCAGACTAAGGTGGCTGCTTAACACATCCTGCAGGAAATCTTACATAATGAGAGCCTCTGAAATACCTGATAGACTAATTTTGTCTCTGCATTGTCTAATTTTAGCAAGAATCCTGTCAGGTTTAGCTAGAAACCTCCCTTTCCTCCCATCCCACGCAGTAATTTTCCCTCTGACCCTGACTCTGCAACTTGGCTATAAATTCTCATTTTCCTCATTGTATTCATGATCGAGCCCAGTTCTATACTGAGGTCTCTTCTCCCCTATCACAATAGCTTTTCTGAATGAAATCAATTTTTACCGCTGTTAACTATTATTTTCCAGCTCTGGTTTTCCAGATAGCTCCAAATGAGCTGTGTAAGTATGCTTAAGTCACTTAACCTTTCTGGGTTTCAGTTTACTCACCTGCAAATCCCTGCCACGTCTAAAATTCCCATGAAGAATTCTGGTAGAGGAAAATGATGTACAGAAACATTAAGCAATTTGGACTTGCTGATTGTTATCCAGGTCTGACTCCCAGCATAGTGTTCATTTTACAAAACCAGTCATCCATCACCTCTGCCTCAATGCTGAAACCGAAACCCAGGCAAATGTAAACCCAGGGAAATGCCAGGGTGGTATACTTCAGCCTAAAGTGCCTCTTTTCATCTTACAATCTGTTGTTCAGTTTTCTTTAATGTCTAAGCAGCATTTTGTTTTCTAAAGTAAATAACTTTTCCTTTCTGGAAATATAAATTCTATTACTTTTGCTAATTAAACAGGCATAAAACAGATAAAGCTTGATTTTAGATGACAGCACAATTTAAAAGATTTTATTCTGTCTTCTACCGATATTTCCTTCTTTTTTGTCTTTAAAAGTTCCTTTCAGTTTGGCTGGGAAGTGGGCCCCCACTTCTTAATTCACCCTAAAAGAAACCTAAATGCCACAGGGCTCAGCTGAATGCACACATATGGTGCCAACGCAGTTCTGTCTGAGTGCAGTGCTGTTTTGCAGTGTGACCTCAGCAAGATCCTTTTACTTCTTCCAAGCTTCAGTTACTTCACCCTTATCCAAAGTTAGTTATAAAGCAACAATTAAGATCAAAGATGTGAATTTTAAAGTATTAAAAATCTAATGATGATGAACACTGTGTTTGCATGCCATGATGCAAACTCAAGTATCTATTCTCTCACCTCTAAATACCGGGCCACACTAAAAAAACTTACATATTCTACGGCTGCTTGGAATTTTTTAATGTCATACTGAATAATGCCACTTCCTTCTTGGTATCTTTTTATGTCATTTTTACCAGAGGGACAAGGGTTTTGATATGATATTTTAAACTTAAGCAGTCTTTAAAACACATACAAACACAACCATCTTTTCACGTCTTTCATCGCTTCTCTGTTATCATCCTCTAACGAACTTAAATTTCGCCAGTAAAAGTCTTCTAAAATGTTACATTTGCTGTGAAATGCCAGAAACGAAATGCTACATTACCTAGTGGTAGCAACGGGTATTTTTAATATTTTAAGCATTTCAATTTTCTCTTCACTAGCACATTATGACATGATTGCCTTCCAGTATTTACTCTCATTAAATAATCCTGTTTCTATTTTGTCCCCTTGCCTTCAATACGTAGGCTGCAAATGTGCCATTGTTCCCTGTACCGTTTCAGTGAAGGAGCTTAAAAACGACTTTGTTATTTGCGCGTTTCTTTGCTCCGTAAATACACTTTCTCTTACTGCAATTGAGCTGGAGGTCACTATCTCACCAAAAAACAAGATCTGGACGAGATCAAGTAGCCAAACCAGGGCCGAATGGGAGGGGGGCGGGGCGGAGTCCATACACCACCCTAACGCGACGGATTCTAGGGCTTCCAAAGATAAACAAAGGAAGTTGGTTTTCCCACCGCGCCCCATGTGCTTCCACCAACCGGAGGCGTTGGTGTGGAAGCCCACCGAGCTCAATTACCTTGAAAACGCAGTCCAAGTGCTGAATTTTTCTAAAGGCTCCGGTTATATAGGTGGACATCCCAAGGGTCAGTAGAGACAATAACAGACCGGGAAGAGAGCGGGGCGGATCTTCGATTCCTGCCTCCCACTCCACTAAAGAACCTCAACACCTACCAACCCCAACATACCGACACACAGCTCCTCCGCTGCTCGAAATGCAACGTGCAGGGAAGGAGACAGCAGGGAGTGTGGGGACGGGCTGCAGCCGGGGCGAGTGCGAGGAGCTGGGCAGAGGAGCCGAGCTCAGAGGCGACGGGCCGAGGGCGCTGGAGGGAGGACCGCGCCGCGCGGCGGGGAGCGGGAGCGGACTCCTTCCTCACCTGGCAGCCCTTCTTGTGATGAAAGCCGACCACCACGATGTGCAGCACCGGCCCCCGGGGGGCGCCATCGCCGCCCCGCCCGGCCTTCTCCATGGGCAGCCGCCGTGGGCCCGCACGACGACGACTTCAACCGCCGAGGGCGGCGGGCCGGGCGACCCCGCGGTCCCCAGGAGGACGGCGATCGGCAGATTTCAGGTGTCAACCAGGGCGCCGCATGAGGGCCGCGCAGGGGGCCTGGCAAAGGCCGAGGTTGCTGCAGCTCCGCCCCGCCCCCCGGGGCCGCCGCCGCGCTTCCCTCATCCGCTTCGGCAGCTTCCGGGCTGTCACCTGATGCGGCGGTAGCCGCCGGCGAAGCCTGGCGGAGTAAGACCTGGAGGGAACCGATGGGGCGGGCCTGAGGCGCCGGGGCGGGGCCTGAGGAGTGGGGCGGGGCCTGAGGAGTGGGGCGGGGCCTGAGGGAAGGGGCGCCCAAATGGAGGCTTCCGGCACACCTGTGCCCTGCTCCCTTGTTGTGGCCTCAACCTGCTTCCTCCTCCTTTGTCCTCTCTTCTTCTCCTTAAAATCACTCTTACTCACCTCTTTCTTTATTGCCTTCTCTTGAACGTCATTTCTGTTCATTCTCTGAGTACCCCATTCCTTTCCTTCCTTTCCTTGAAATTTCTGGCCTGTGGTCTCTCTGCCCTTGACTCCTAAATTTTTGATAACACGGAGACATTGATGCGGCTCTCTAGCTGTGAATTCACCCTTTAAATAACTTGCTTACCCAGAGTTTCTCTCTGCTTCATTCTATATTTTTACTCTTCTTCCTAGTTAAATATTACCTATAGGAGCTTGGAGGCAACTTAAAGCCTGAAGCACAGTATCCTTGACAAAAAAAGGAAGTTTATAGGGAGACCTGTAAAATGATTATTCTATTCTTGCTATTTAAAATTTTTTAAATTCTGTTTTTTCTTTTTTTAAATATTTTATTGGAGAATTAGGGGAGGGGAACAGACAAGTTTCTTTCCTTTTGTTCTTCTTCAGTCTAGTTGTGGAGGACGTCGCTTCGCTGGCCCATGTTGGTATTATCATTGCGCTCTTCCCGGGTGAGGCAGTTGCTCGCCGGCCATTGGACTGCCGGCTGCTCACAGGGACTCATGGCAGCTCATGAAAGCTCACACCCGCTGCCAGCCAGCCCCACTGCAGCTGTCGCCAGGGACTCACAGCAGCCCAGCTCCAGGTGGAGCTGTTGTTCACCATCTTAGCTGTGGAGGGCGCAGCGTCACTGGCCCTCATGTGGGATCTGAACCGGGGCCCTGCTGCTCAGAGCTGGCGTCCCAAGACAACTCTTAACCAATGCGCCACTTGGCAGGCCCAGCTATGTTTTTTCTGGGTTTAGAACTGTTGTCAGTACAAAAATATATGGGATCTGTTGTCACCAGGGCTTTTAATTTCCTTGCTGATTGTACTACTTCAACTTTTTTTTAAACATTGAATCTCATCCTTTGTCAACTTAAATTGAATAATAAAAATACTAACAGATTTAACAAATCTTATCTAGGGCAGTTTTGGGGTAAACTAAAGGAAAGTGCCTGCTTCAAACAGAATTTGAGATTACTATAATAATTGGCTGTGAAGTTTACCACTACCAGTTGCACATCCATTAGTTTAAACAACCTTAGTAGTAGATATTTTTCCAGTGCGGGCCTTGAAATTTAAGGACCTGCATGCGAATCCAAGTATAGCTGGGGAAAACAGCAGACTTCCTATAATCAAATTGAGTTTCTATGATTCAGTAGAACTGTTTTAATGCTGGTAAAAATACTGTAGAAAAATTTCAAGATGTTCTTATCATTTCTAAATTACAAAATCTTGGCATTGGCTCAACTGTGTGTGAAACTATATTTTTCCCTGTATGCAGAATATGTTACTGTTTTCTTCCATCTGCCTTGATATTACCCACAATTGGCAGAGCTAAAATTAAAGTCTAATTGAACATCTTTTTAAAAAGATGCCAGGGCTAGGGCATTTTAGAACTCCACATCTACAGCGAGTGCCAATTGTTCAATTCACTGTGCAGGAGACCCAGTAATGGCTTTAGAAAAATCTGTGTCACTTTGCATCTTAGGGCTTCCACCTAAGATTAAATAATTTATTCATAACTATTATATTGCTTAAATGTTTTTAAAAAATATTTAAAATAATGCTATAAAGAAAGAAGACACATTACTGGGAAAATTGGGAGAGAAAGTAAGCAAGGAAATTTCCAGAATTTTTTCCATCTCTGAATATACAGCCTGGTTCATTTAACAGTTTAGAATAACAACTCTTATAGTAGCTTTTAATGAGCTGTATTAATATAATAAATTTATTAACAAGATATTGTCTATAAAGATAAATATCTATTGAGAAAAAATGTAAATTTCTCCTTTATTATAAAAAGTGTCAGAAGAGGGGTGACCAGTTAGCTCAGTTGGTTAGAGCATGGTGCTGATAACACCAAGATTGCCGGTTTGATCCGGCATGGGCCACTGTGAGCTGCGCCCTCCCTAAGAGGGTCAACTATGCCACTGTAGCATGAAAGCAATGACCATGGCTGTTCCCCAATTAAAAAAAAAAAGTGTTGGAAGGAGATTATCAAGATTGGAAACAACTTGAGATAATGGAATACTTTCTGAACATTCTTTTGAAAGGAAACTTTTGCTTGTATTTTTATGATATTTATCTCCAGGAAAAGAGTTAGAAATGCTTTTCTGAACATATAATACAGAAAGTGCCAAATATATACATACATACATATATATATATATATATATATACACATACATATTTTAAGAAAGGAAAAAAATTGTATTAAAATGATAATACTCAATATATACCAATAACAAAAGATGAATACAAGCCCCCTTTGACTTCTGCAATTACAAGAGGTGCTCAAAGTGGCTGCCATCAGCGTAGTTTTAATACAGTTTTTTCCTTTCTTAAAATTTGTATACATGTTTTTGGCACCCTCTGTATATTGAAGAGCCTCTTTTAGTTACACATATTTTATGATGAAGGTAAATTCTGTTTTACATGTGCTCTGTAAGTAAGAGCTAAGGGGGAGAAAAAACCCTGGGGACTGACCTATGACATGTTTTCAGGTTCATTAGAAATGATCTGTCCATCTGGAATTGGCCTGCTGTTTCTTTTTGTATCTTGCCTCAGGAAACAGCATGATAAATAAAACCACTCCCTTCCTGCAATCTCCATTAACTCTTTTGCATAAATGAAGTTTATCTCCTTTTTCAGAGTATAGTAGCTCCCCCTTCCCCGCTTACCCAAAGAGGATAGTTCCAAGACCCCCAGTGGATGCCTGAAACCTCTGATAGCACTGAAGCCTATATATACTTTTTTTCTTTCCTAAATTAAGTCGAGAACGTTCACTTTTTCACGTAAAGGACACACTTTATGGCTTCTCTTTGGTGTATCCAAATAGCCAGATCACAACTCTTGCTCTTTGAGGGCTATTAAGTAAAATAAGGGTTACATGAACACAATCACTGTGATACCAGGACAGCCGATCTGCTCACCAACAGGGCCACTAGATGACTAATAGGCCTGGAGTGTGTGCAGCGTGAAGATGCTGGACAAAGGGATGAGTCACACCCCACGAGGGATGGAATGGGATGAGAGGGATGGCGGGAGACTTCATCACACTACTCAGAATGACGTGCAATTTAAAAGTTATGAATTGTTTATTTCTGGAATTTTCCATTTAATATTTCAGACCATGGTTGACCAAGGGTAACTGAAACCATGAAAAGCAAAACAACAGGTATGCAGTTACTACTGTATAAAGAGACTTTGTTTTTCAATAGTGTTAAAAATTGCTAATATTCATTTTGTTCTTGAAATAGAAAACAAAGTATTTACTTTCGCAAAGCATATTTTCTGAATTTTAAACTCTGTCAAGTAGCAACAATACCTTAAATTTGGTCCCTGCTCTCATTATGGTATGGTGAAAATAAAACAAGAGTGGAGATAGAAAAGAAAAAGCAGGAAAAGAAAAGGGCTTCACAAACAAATTTGGCTTTGCTTTGTCTTTAGAATCATGAAGATTAAGGAGGATGTTAATGGGTATGAATGAAATACTGAGAATCAATTTGAAGAACGTTCTTAGACCATACGGTACACCTGAAACTGTGTGGGGTAGGCACAGTACACTAAAAAAAGAAAAGAAAAAGAAATTGCTGCCTTAAAGTGGCTTATATCTAGCTATAAAAATAAATGTGAAATCAGCTAGCAATGCTACCTCTTGTAGCACCTACCCTAAACCAAGCATCATGTTAAATATTACGAAATAAAGCTAAGCAATAATAGCTCACATTTAATAAATAAGCACTGCGTGCTAGTCTTCTGCTAAGTACTTTTCATGCATTATCTCATTTAATCTTCACAACAATCCTGTAAGTAGATACTATTATTCTTGTTTTTTCCAATGAGTAAATTGAGACTTAGAAAGATTATATAACTTGCCCAAGACCAAATGACTAGAAGAAACTGTGGTGGGGATGAGATTTGAACCAAAGTAATTTAACTTAAGAACTACTGGATTTAATCACTATACTGCTTCCCCAAATTCTTTCTTGTTTTATTTTATAAATTTAATTGGGGAACAGTGTGTTTCTCCAGGACCCATCAGCTCCAAGTCCAGTAGTTGTTTCAATCTAGTTGTGGAGGGCAGCTCAGTGGCCCATGTGGGGATCGAACCAGCATCCTTGGTTCATGCAATGCACCCTGTGCTCTAACGACCTGAGCCAACTGATCATCCCTCTAAATTCTTGAATTTGAGGAACTCACAGTTTTTTTGTGAGGGTGATAACCCCCTGGATAATCATAAGAGAAGACATTCTGACAGCTATTAACATATTTACGGGATAATGAAATAACCCACTAATACTGCAAAATCAGAGGTTTCACAGAGGTGGTCATATTTGAGCAGGATTTCTCAGAATTTGGGTGCAGAGTATCCTAAGTGCAAGAAAACAAAATCACTAAGGACTGGGGCTATTCAGGTAAACATTTAGGAAGGGAAGAGTTTTATGCCAAACTTGGAGGAAGTATGTAAGATTTAAATTAAAGCAGCAAGAGATGTTTGGAGGTGAACACATGCCAATTGCACACAGTAGTCTCTCTACTTGGAATGCTGCTCCCGCCCCTTTTCTGCTTATCTAATTCTTATTCATCCACCAAGACTAGACTCCGGTCAATTTCTTTGTGAAGCTTCCCAAGCTATCTGTGTGGCCAGTGGACAGATTATTTAACCTCTCAAAGCTAGTCATAAAGATTAGGAGTAAGTGTAAGTTTCCTGGCACATAACAGGGGCTTAATATTGACAAAATGCATAAAGCCAGGATTGGCTTGGGATTTAGGAGGCTGAATCCTAGAGCTTTGAACTCAAGGGCCCAACTGTAAGGGCTTCTGAACCTTCTCACTGATGTTTGCGGTAAATCATACCTACTTCTCTAGGATTCCTGAAGCTAAGAGATCTTTGTGCTTTATATATTAAATTTCATGTGCCTTGTACATGTCTGTTATTTGTCTTTCTCCCCCATTCATCCTTAAGCTCCGACAAGGGCAGAAGACCTTGTATTTCTGTAGTTTTATACTCAGCAAAATGCCAGACAAATAGTGTGCAACTAACACATATTTATTCAGTGAATGAATGATGTTCTTTCTGGCTCCTCCTGTTTCCTCTTTAGCTTTAAGTTTCTAGGATACGAATATAAAATAGATTAAGGCAGAGAATATTTTTGCTTTCTATTCAAAACAATCGCAAAAGCATTAAGGTTTCTTAAGTGTGATGACGTTAACATAGTGACATCTGGTGGTTGCCTATTAGATGATGTGTTAAGAAATGGTGAATACAATTTAACAAAATTAGACTCGCAGATATAACAAGATTAAAAAAGATGAATTAAATGTCGTAGAAAAGAAATAGAAATAAAAAGAAAAAGAAAACATCTTTAAATCCTCATTCTAGAAAAGTTTACAAAAAATGCTGGTTGTGGATTTCCAATCTATGGGACTTTTAAAAGAAGGGGTAGATTTCTTAATCTACCTTAACACAGTGAATTGGTGGCGGGAAAAACAGATTGATTTATACTGGTCTTGAAAAAAGATCCTGGCTTGAAATGAGACGCAACTTTATATGGGAAGAAAATAAGACCACTCAAAGTTTTCCCTATTTTGCAAAATCTTTCAGGTTAGAGAAGGAATTTATTCACAAGGCTGGATATCTTTAACGTCTTTGGGAAACTTCGAAGGGAGAGTGGATACCTGTTGAGGCCACAGAATGTTCACTGGACAGAAATATTTCCCGGGATCTCACTGCCCTGGAATAAAGGCGCTCCGCGCGATCCAGGAAGACTGGCTCGATCGCTTGCTCGGCCTCAGATTGGTCGAGCCTGCCCGGGCTGAGGGCGGGGGGGGGAGGAGCGGAAGCGCGCTCTTTCAAATTCGCCGTCTGAACGTCGATGGACGCAGGCTACTTCCGGTGTAGCCATGGCGGCTAACGCTACCACTAACCCGTCGCAGCTGCTGCCTCTAGGTAATTGTCCTGTGGGAAGCGGGGGCGGGGAGCCGAAGTTTAGGGTTGGGGGCCGAGGGTCTCCGGTCGAGGCAGCCCCTCGCCGAGGGTTAGGAAAATGTATCGGGCCGACTGCTTCCGTCCCCCGCGGCTTGCATCGAGGCTCCACGTTTGCGGTCCTAGGCCGCCCAAGCCTCTTCAGCGTGGCAGGGGTCCTTTAGACAGGGACTTGTGACTCCCCAAACCAAACCGTCACCGGGAAAGGTCCACACTTCGTGACTGCGTCGCCAGCCGCCTTTGTTAGGCGTTCTCTGTGCGTTCCTGGGAAGCAGCCCCACTCAGCCTGGCGCTTAAGGCCCCCAGATTACTCTCACATATCTGGCGGGTTTTTAAGAGAAGCACCGCGGTCTGGAATGAGCCTTAAAAGAGGAATCTAGAAACTAGCTCTACTTGTCATTCATTCATTCAACAAACTGAGCATCGGCGCTATTCAACAAGTTTAAATCACGGCCGTTGCCTTCAGATACTAGCACACAAACCAATGGAGGACATAGGATACTGGATAAATAACCATCATACCAAATAATAAGTCGGCCGCTATCAGGGTACAGAGGATAGACTTCTTAGGGTGAGAGGGGTCGTCACAAGAAGGAATCTCCGGTGAAGACGGTTACGCCTTTCTCTTCCTAGTATTTTGTAACTGAAGAGTGAGTGAGTTAGTGGATGTGGCTGTGATTGAAAATTTTCCCTTCGTTTGACAAACTCTTTTTGAATGCTCAACATGTGACAACCACTGTCCGTTGGGATACAGTGATAAGCAAAAACAACCACAGTTTCGACATTCATGGAGCTTAGAGTCTTCCGGAGGACTATGTTAATCAGATCATCTAAAATAATATAAAACCACAGCCATGATAAATTGCTACAAAGGGAAAAGAAGTGGAGAACAGGGAAATTTTTTCTTTTAATGTAATGATTGAACAGAGATATGTAGTATAAGATCTAGAGTTTTTGAATGAATGCTTTTTCTGGTTTATCTTTCACCATATACAAGTAATAAGTGCCATGGGCATGCAAATATTTGTTGAAGAAATGAATGGGTAAAATAATCTTTTCTCTCTCCCCCTTTTTCCATTTTTTAAAAAAAAATATATCCGTAGAGCTTGTGGACAAATGTATAGGATCAAGAATTCACATTGTGATGAAGAGTGATAAGGAAATTGTTGGCACGCTTCTAGGATTTGATGACTTTGTCAGTATCCTTTGAAAAGATGGTGGTGGTATGGGTTTTTCTTCATAATTTAAGAACAGAAGTAAGAACTATAGTCAGTACTTACTGATTATTATAATAAAACAATGTGTTCTCAGGAAAGTTGTGATATTATTGTAAGTCGTATGTGTACTGAAAGAAGATAAAGTTCCTGCCAATCAGAAGCATTTTGAATTTGAGCCATTTGTGTTAAATGTTACCATTAAAACTGAACAAAAGAAGAAGCCAGAGTAAATTTAACCTGATATATTCATTTTCTTAACACCAAATTTCAGATATGGTACTGGAAGATGTCACTGAGTTGTGAGTATTAAAAATTAAAGAATTGCCCGGGGGGTGGGGGAGTAAAAATGTAAGCCAATTTTAGTACTATTGAGTCAGTAAAACGATGTATTAGAAACCATTATTCTGTTGGAATTACCTTAAAGATAGAAATTTTATCTATTGACGCTAAGCTAGTAAAATTGAATTGGAAGGTTATTACCTTAATGTAATTGTACTATGTTGTTAGGAAATTAGTAGAGACAAAGCTTTAAGGTAAAAGACATTAAAAACAGCCAGGAATCTTAGGGCTCAGATCAAATCAAGGAACTGATAGTAAAAGCATTTACTGCTTTTAATTAAATTAATTGCTTTGCAATATATGTATAAGATAAAATGTAAATGATGGCTCATTTATATTAATTATAAAAATCACAGCCAGTATCTCTGCTTTCAGAATTGAATTGATTACAGATTGGTTTAATGTATAGGAATCAGTAGTAAGTAATAGTAAAAAGAGTGAGAAGAGTAAACATTTTATTTCCTATTTGATCTCCTTGGCAAGTTTCAGTTTCTTTTATGAAGGTCAGTCCTAGTGGATGTGGATCTTAGACCACCCAGTACATTCCGTCACTTTTAGGGAAGAATGTACATCATCAGTGGATAAACTTTGTCTCTGAAAACTGTTGATATAATTGTGTGACCTCATATTCATTTATATACAATAATAACCTTTTTAGGGATCAGAATGTTGGCTTTGCTTATCTGTGTTTATCCTGACTCATTTTTATCTCTTCATTTAGTGAAATAACACCAGAAGGAAGAAGGATTACTAAATTAGACCAGATTTTGCTAAATGGAAATAATATAACAATGGTAAGACACAGTAAAGCTGTTTTATTTTGATGTTAGACCATTTTTGTGGGGCAGGGATTACAGACCTAATTTGCTTGACTCAATGTTCATGGCCCAGTGGTGCTTAAGATGGGAAAGGAATGCTCTAGTGGTCAAAGCTGAGCTGTTGAAGATGACACTAGGCCTCAAGATACGAGGTATGATCAAACAATATGGTGAATGTTTAAATAAAAAAAAATTTTGTTACAGTAAAAGACACATTGCCATTAATCCCCCTCAAAATACTCCCCCTTGCTTTGAACGCACTTATCCCATTATTCTTGGCACTTTCTGAAGCAGTGCTGGAAGTCCTCTTTCACGAGTGTCTTTAGTTGTGCTGTTGTGGCTGCCTCGATGTCTTGAATCAATTCAAAACATTTTCCTTTCATGATCATTTTGACTTCGGGGAAGAGCCATAAGTTGCACGGTGCCAGATCGGTGAATAAGGTGGATAAGGACACACTGCAATGTTTTTATTTGACAGAAATTGCTGTACCAGAAGCAATGTGTGACATGGAGTTGTTATGATGGAGGATGATTTATGGCACACTTTAAAACACACCTTCTCTCAACCGTAGCTCACACCTGACTGACTGCACCGAGCAACTTGAAACTTGTCACACACTGTTACTAAGGTTTGTTGCGCCATCCCCTATTGAAAATCCCTACCTTTCCGTTGTATGGCACTCGGCAGCAGCATTCACCATATTTTGTGATCACAATGGAAAGGCTCCATGTCACATTTCATTTCTGGTATACGGCAATTTCTGTCAAAAACATTACGGTGCATCTTTATTTGCCTTATTCACTGGATCTAGCACCATGTGACTTCTGGCTCTTCCCCAAAGTCAAAATGACCATGAAAGGTAAACATTTGAATCCATTTAAGACATTGAGGCAGCCACGATGGTGCAACTAAAGACACTTACGAAAGAGGACTTCCAGAACTGCTTCAGAAAGTGACAAGAACGATGGGATAAGTGTTTGAAGCGCGAGGGAGTATTTTGAGGGGAATTAATGGCAATGTGTCTTATACTGTAATAAATTTTTTTTATTTAAACATTCACTGTATTTTTTGATCACAGCTTGTAAGTTTGCCTGTGCTTTTTAAATCTTTTACTAAGAATTATTGTTGAGGCACTAAATATTAAATGATGATGTTGGAATTGTAAAGAGCGGTGCCATGGAGAAAATGGGAATGTGAGGGAGAGGCAGAGAGCAAAGTGTCAACCAGGCACTCTCAGTAGGTCTTTTTAGATGATGAAGTGGTGGTGTCACTAAATGTTTTCCTCCTTTGCAGCTGGTTCCTGGAGGAGAAGGACCTGAAGTATGAATGGATTTCCTTGACTTACGCTAGATTCTGTTTTGTCTTATAATGACAACACAATGTAAAATTTGTTTTAAACCTTTCAATGTTTGGACTCTGTGAAGCTAAGTTTCCCGTTAAAGGGGAATGCTTTGAAGAGACATTGTAAATGCCATTTTTGTAAGTTAATCATGATTATCTTAGAGAAAAGAACAGTTTGTTCTTTGAAGACTAAAATAAAGGTGTTTTTGGTTAATTGTCATTTTATTTATTATATTGCAATAGCCAGTGCAACAAAGCTTGCAGTTGTTTTGTCAATTGCTTTCTTGTCATTTTATGCCTGTTTGCTTCCTCATTTACATGACCATTTGATTCTCAAAAATTATTTTAAACAAAATGACAGACTTTGAATTTGGACAGGTACATTTAAAAAGCCTGAAATGATTACTTACATAATTCAGTTCAAACTATGATGCTTTGAAATGAGCGTTTTTCTCCTGAACTCAAACTCTGTTAACTCCTATTAAAAACAAATAAGCAAAATACACGGGTAGTAAGTATATGCACATTGTGGAAGTATAGATTAGTAAAACGGAAAATATACTTTGCTGTATATTCTCGTAGATGTTCTCTGTACCCTCACAGTACACATTTTTACAAAAACTTGTTCACCCTGAATATACTGTTTTGTAGCCTCCATTTATGACTTTTTTTGAATTTAAATGGCGAACATCTTTCTATGTCAGATATTTCAGCAACGTTAATGTGTGCATAGTATTTCAGTTAATGGATTTAGCATAACTTAGCCTATTCTTATTATTGGCCATAGTAGTTTAAATCTTTATACATTTTCATTTTTCTTAGAATACAGAAATGTGTAAGGTGAAAGGGTATAGATTGTCATGTTGCCAACACAAAGTTTGTACCAACATACACTTGTGCCAGCAGTTACCACCATTACAGAGTACTTACTGCCATTCGCTATATTCTGTCTTCTCTCCATGCCACTGTGATAGGCAAAAATTTTCTGTATCATTTGTGAACTCATTTTGTATTTTGTGAATTGCTTATATGACGTGTTTACCATTGAGATGCTTGTCTTGGTTTTTACTAATTTGTAAGAATTCTTAATCGGTTACTCGTAGTCATGTATTTTGCAGGTAAATCCCCCAGTTTGTAGTTTGCCTGTTAGGGGTACTTTTTTTTGACATAAATGAAATATTTTTATGTAGTCATATGTTTGTCTTGTCCTTTATGGTTTTTGTCTATGGTACACATGGATTATAAAGACCTTCTTTGCTCTGATTTTAAGTTTTTTGGTTACTTTATGTTTTCTTTGTTTCATTTGAATCTTGAATCCATCTTTCATTTTAGTGTTTCCACATGACAAAAGGACCCAACTTTATTTTCTAAAAAACAAAGCACAAATTTGTGGTGTTTTTTCATTTTCATGGTGTAAATCCTCCTACCTTGGCTGACTTCAAGCTGCCAGGGGTTTCACAGCCAGCTTGCAAACTTCCTAAAGGTTTAACAGCTGGTTCTCAGGAGCCTGGAGCCTGTTGCCCCACCCCACTGCTTCTGACCCTGATTGCGGGGAATGCTTTCCCCCCATGTTTTCTTTCCTTTTGGAGGGAGGTTAAATGATGTTATGTCATCCCCTTTCCACCTTTTCACTCGCAGTCCTACGCCAGCGGGGTGGTCATGCTCAGCTCTTACTTTTTTCCTCTTAGGAGTTCGTAGCCTGCAGAAGCACATGGTCTTAGTTTTAATGTGCTGTGAGCGGTAGAGGAGCCGACCTCACTCCGGGAGGGCTGCGGTTCTCTAGTCTGTGGCCAGGTGGCTGAGTTGACTTCTGAGGTTCAGTAGTCGGAAGTCGACTTGCCTCCAGAGAAACTGTCTCTTAATCTAGTCTTTGACAGTAATAAAGAGCAGGGTATGATTATCTCATCTGCTTATACTTTTGTCTTATATCGCAATTCATTTAGAGTAGGTACTATTCTAAAAGGGTGTTTCTTGTTTGTTTGTTTTTTAAGAAATTTTGTTAGGGAACTGTGTTTTTCCAGGACCCACCAGTTCCAAGTCAAATATTTGTCTTCAGTCTAATTGTGGAGGGCGCAGCTCCATGGCCCATGCTGGGATCAAACCGGCAACCTTGGTGTTAAGGAGCACTGCGCTCTAACCGCCTGAGCTAACGGGCCATCCCAAGGGTTTGTTTCTCAACCGTGGCCCTATTGACACTTTTGTCTATATAGTTCCTAGTCGTGGGGGCTGCCCTGTGCATTGTAGGGTGTTTGGCAGCATCCCTGGCCTCTACCCACTAGATGCTGGCAGCATCCTTCCTCTGCCCTGCTCCCCCTCCTAATAGCTGGGATTTGAGACTTCATCATAGACTGTGCTCTGGTTCTCCATGGCTTTAGCCCAGTGGGCGAGAAGAACAAAGAATGGGAATGTAAGGGTGGAGTGCTGCTTTTCCACCTCTGGTGTTTTTTCTCCATGGAGGAAGATTAATGAGTGTAATAGTGCACCTGGCCTCTTTGTTCCTTTTCCCTCTGCCCCAGGAGACATGGAGTGACGTATCTGATTAAATATGGGAAGAGGGAAACTGGGCATGTTTGTCTCAACTCCTTTTTCCTCTTAGGGTTGAGTTGCCTTCAGGGAGCATATGTTATGCTCTGCTTTTTGCTGTAACTTATAGGGATCTGCATGAAGACACGAAGCAGCTGGGTGTGTGTGTGCAGCAATGCCTGTAGTTTCGTGGGTACATCTGAATACTTGGGGAGTTCCATACTAAGAAGCTAACTACAGTCCACGATATAAGGTGCATCGTCTACCTAGTGTCCGACAGTAATCAAAATATTTTGTCCCCTGTGTGCTTACCGTTTTGCCTTTTTTCTCAGTTGGTTCAGAACTCAATCGTAGAAGAGGGGTGCTGATTTTTGGCCCCCTCAAAGATTCCAACAGCCCTCCAATCTCTGCCGTACTAAGACAACAACCTCCTTTGCCTTCCTGACTCCTCCTGTCTGCACATCTGTCCTCCACAGCCATTAGAGCATTTGAATATTTAGCGTAATGCAGAATGTGGTCATGTGTCACTTTGGCTTCAAACCTTTTAGTAACTTAACCTCTGTACAACAAAAGCCCAAGTTCCTTAGCAAAATACCATGAGGGATGCCCGCTGACCTTGTCTTGCCTGAGTCAAACAATTTGCGAGGCCGACTCTTCCCTCTCTTTGGGTTTTTGGCTTTACTCCTGTCAGGCCCCTGTGGGAATACCCATGCCTGTAAACTTTTCTTCATTTGGTTTACTTCTACTCAAACTTTAAGAGTAGGCTCAAGTGTCACTTGCTCTAGGAAGACCTACAAGAACCCCCACCCTTGTACCACTTCTCATTGTGTATGTGTTACAAGTCATGGAGACATCAAAGTGCTTTTTCATTATACTGTCTTGAACAGCTGCTCCCTTTAAAAAAAAAAAAATCCTCAAGCAGTTCATGACTTGCAAAGTCCTGGTTTCAAGGGAAACATCCTGTTACACTGTTGGAGCAGAAACTAGAGTCTGTTCACCGTCAACACCACCAGCTGAATCACCATCTGAATATCTTAAAAAATTTTTTTTTATTCTATAACATAATATTAGGGATATTCAAAGATCTTGTTGAGTTTTGTGAACCACTTTTTTAGTAATGAATTGATTTAATGAATACAAATGTAGAGATGAACAAAGACAAAGAGACCCACATATGGACCAGTGGTGGAGACTGGTGGCGTATGAGTCGTGAGTGATGAGAATACATGTCTGACACCCTGAGGTCTGAGGTGGAACATAATCAGACTATTCCCTCTTTTGAAACTTTCTACAGAGAGATATTAGGAATATGCAAAGATCATGTTCTCATATTGATTTTACAGTCAGGTTTGTTATTGGAATAATGACAAAATCGTCAATATAAATAAATGTACAAAGAACAGTGAAGCATTGTTCAACTATGAGCACATGGGGAGGCAAAATATATTATTGATAAACACTGAAAAACTCTGATGCCCATTAAGATGTAAATGGATAAAGGTCTCACCTCTTTGACTAAGGTCATAAAGATTCTACTAAGGAATTTTATTGTTCTGGGTGAGTCTCAAGATTGAGTTTTTTTCTTTTGTTAAGGTAAAAATTATACATATTAAGAAAAAAACCCTAAATACTAAATCAATGAAAGGGAGTAAGCAAGCATTAATGGCGATTAGGTGATTATCTGAATGTCTTGCAGAGTTTGGCTGGCATGGTTGAATGACTGTCAGTGCAGTGCCGAAACCCGGCTCTGGCTGTTAGCAGGGATGCTCAGAGGCAGAAACTCTGGGGAGCTCCAGCAGGGGCTGCTGCTCTGTGAGTCCCACTCACTGACATCTCAAAGCGGCGTGGCTGGCGCCTGATCTCCCGTCAGCCTGATGCCCAAAACCATGCTTTGTCTCCTGCAGACATGAGGAGTGTGAAGTCATGAGGCTGGAGCAGGGAATGGCTGGAAAACAGACTTAATCTACTTTGTCCAAGGTTGACCCTGGCTGAATCTTTGATTATTAGACGTTTTATTCTTGAATTTAAGAACAAATCATGTATGACATCATCTGGTCGCCAGAGGGCACTGTGGGACAG